TTTTTTTTTTTAAATTAGGCAAAACGTAAACAAAGAAGTGCTTGTAAACCTTTTTTTTGCAGAAAACAATTGACGGTAAAGAAAAACATTGTGAGAAATAATTCAAATTTAAATTATGTGTATTTCATAGATAAGCAAATTACATTTGAAATTGTCACATTATAGCGCCGACTAGGACATCTCGTGGCATATTGGCAAGGCGTCACCGCCACTAAAATAATCGTCGCGCGTGCTCAGACGACAGACGCTCCCGCGTCGGATTCTATTGGTATTCTGCACCAACACCACAAAAAGCCTTATAATTTTTTTCTCTACCAACTATTCGTGCTCGCATTTCTTTTATAAATACTGTTTAACAAATGTAATTTGTAATAGTTTTTTTGAGATATAATATACTAAATATCTATCTGAGATTGTCACCTTGCACAGTGCATCATAACATTGATTAAAGTCTATTGCTCATTCGTAATTCAGATTCCCCTGAGAAGATTGAGTAATAAACTCTAGGGGTTGCTCTTTGTAATTAGACATTTGTAAATACTTATTATTTACAATGTTTATCTTTCAAATATCACAGATCGAGACAACCTGAAAAAGTTTAGCTCTCTGGTCACTATCATGAAGTTTTCTTATGCAAGTACACAGAAGTTGTATGAGAGTGTATGTGTTTCACGTCGTTAACAACAAATTTTTAATATCAATCGGAATCTTATTGTATAATCGTATAACATCGCCCATTATATTAATTTGTGACTTTAGAAATACAACTCACATTGACACAATAGTATTTTTTTTTGTTTTATAAAAAGATCCATTGAATGTTTGGAACCTCTGCTTCTTTAAGTTTTTTTATAGTGCAACTTTTTGGAAATTGACTGTGTAAAGATATAAATTTTACATATGGAGTTTTAAAGGTACCGAATGCTACGAGTAAAAAATATCACTATAATTATATGAAGGTTAAATACTTAAATTGATTTGCTTAAAAAAAAATGGAATGGCGCATAATAAAAGAACCAGGATTTCCCTCTGTCTAATGCTAAAAAAACGAAGTATAAAGTCTAGGGATTGCTTACCCGATGTAATATACCGTAGATCTTATGAAGGCCAGAATGAATAAGCACCTACAAAGCCAGTTTTCTTCACCCTCGACTACATATGACCATATCAAGTGATTGCCAGTAATAAATATTTAAAAGAAATTTAATGGAACAGCTGATTTCTTTTTCGTTGAACAACACTTTCCCCCTTTTGAAAATTGTGATAATACTAATATTAATATAGTTTTTGATTCATTGCATTGTCAACGATATGAAGATTCATTGTAATGTCAAAAGTTGAGTTGTCAGTGTTTAGTTGACGGCGCATTTTTATTAGTTTACATTCTAGACTGATAATGGAGTTTTAGTTAATATTGTGGTTGAATTTGACCTCTTTTGACGTTTTATAACATTTCACATAGTTGCCCCAATGTGAATAGCTTTTGACGTGAAACGCCTTTTTAAATTAAATGGAAAATTCTAGGGTCGGCGGACTAAAGCACATAAGTCAAAATCCAACATCATTCATTTAAATTAACGCCTCTACCGGCTAAAGCACATAAGCCAAATTCATTTGTTACTTCATAAATTTCTAACTATATTCTAGAGCCTATTTAACTTCCAACACTAAAAACAACACAAAAAATATATATTTATATATTATTGAAGCACTTCTTTGACTTATGTGCCGCCGCCGACTCTAGAATTACAGGTATCATAACAAAAATATCTACCGTAACGAAAGAGATAACGCATGGGATCGATTATAGTAACGAAAGAAATCGTTCACGGTAATTAATTACATCGATCACTTTAACAAATGAGACCGCTCACTGTAACTAATTAAATCGGTCACATTATCGTTCAGTGTAAGTAATTAAATCGATCACATTATCGTTCACAATAACTAATTAAATCGATCACATTAACGAATGAGATCGGTCACAGCAACTAATTAAATCGATCGAAAGAGATCGGTCAACATTTCACGTTAAAGCAACGTCCCTACAGTGTTAATTAAAAACATAATCTCTGTTCGGTTTGCACTTAAAATCGAACCCACTTTACGGGCCGTAATTACTAAACCGGAGAGGAGAGCAAAGGTGTTTAAAGAGTCAATAGGATTTCTTTATTTTCACTATCTGGAAAGATGTCAAAATAACGACATCGTATTGGTTGTTTATACACATCACCTGTCTTCTCTGTTTTAGCGGGCCTTTCAAAAAAAGGTCAAAAAGTACATAGAAATCTCTCCTAAATCTTAAATGTTTTTAGTGCCTAATAAAAGTGCGCCTAAAGGAATGGCAGAAAATTATTTCCAACATTACATTTGCATTTTTAAAATTCGAAATTATTTTAATTTTTGTGATGAGAAAATGAGGCGTTTTATTCAGTCTTAGAGACCCATTATCAACCAAGACGGAGAAATGTTTAAAACAACTAATAGGTTTAAGTAGCAAATATGCAATTTACCTCACAACTGTTGTTATACAACAAACGTAAGAAGTAAAGGAATAGGTAATTCGAGAAGAATTCAAAATTTTATAAATAAGTAGCCAGAAACCTGAAATGATAAAGAAGTGGGATGACGATGAAGGAGGTCTGGATCGTCACACACCTGGGCTAAAGTACTCGTGGCTCTCCCTCTCAGCAAAAATACAGACTATACAAAATTATGTTCTTTATATTAAACACATTTACTCTCCTCTCCGTCTTTGTAGTTAGTGGGCCTTGCATAACGGTGAAACTGGCCTCTTTCTCCCACAAAAGGACAATATAAATTGGCTTTTTAGCGATAATTTGGAGAAAGCTTCTTACAAGCCATTCATCATTCGTTTACTGTTAGTTAGTTTAGTTATCAGTTCTTTCTTTCTTACTTCCAAGCGGTGGATTGAATAATATATTCGGACAGGTAACAAAACTGTATACCTATAAAGCGGCTTTGTGATATCGCTTACTGAATTTGAGGACCAAAAAATATTTCAATTTTGAAATTGTAACTTTTGTTCCATTAAACCCCATTTCGTTTTGCGTATTCAACAAGCTGTTTTAGCGGTGTGCGGTTTTATCTTGCACTCGATGGCTCAGCAAGCACTCTAGATACTATACTAAGTACTAAGTTCGATTCCGAACCTCAATAATATTCAAGTATTTCATAATTACGATATGATGAGCAACATGTATGTAAGATGTATAAAGTTATCATGGTAATGTACTTATTATTTCATGATTTTTAACAGCAAACTTTCGGGGACATCTGTTCCGGTATTTCCAGTTTCGAATTCTAGAATAAACTTTAGATAAATTATGAAATTACAAAGTAATTAATTCCATAGATTTGATCTCTTGACCTAAAGAAAAACATCTCTCAATCAAAGATGCATAAACGCTGAGCTATCGAGTCCATAAATTATATTGCACATTTTATGTGTATGATTTGTTATGAAATGAGAATAATTACATTTTTATGAACCAATGTCATTGTTCATTCCACCGCCCAATTAACAAATATCTCTTCCAGTATCTAGGCCACGTATACTATGACACCACCTTCTGTTTTCACGCCTCGTGTCTTGGACGCGTGTATCGTTTGTATTTCGCATTGATTTTAACCTGTTGTTACCACCCTGCTACCGCTATGTGTATTCGTTATTTTGATGGACAAATGTCTTTGGCCCAATCTGGATTTGATCCCTTTGAAACAAAATACATAACAATTCATATGAAAAAATCTTTATTGAATATTCCTTGTACAACCAATGACATTGTTACGTAAAATAACAATGACATTTATGCAATACATACAAACAATTAAAAAATAACGAATACGTCAATGTTGATATATCAATTGGACATTTTGGCTTTTGCACATGCATGTATAGACGTCTGCTAGAATGCTTTTCAAGACTCAGAGATCATTTTCAGTGCCTACTTCAAAAGATTCCATAGGACCCCCTAGGGTAATTTTTGTCTAGTATAAATTGAAATAGTGTAGTTCAAATTGAAACCTATTGTTTAGAATTATTATAATTCGCTTAAAAGAACATTATACAGGGTGTAACCAAAAGTGCAATTGGACTTTAGCTGGTGATTGTACTGATAATTGGAGAGGTCGCGAAGGCGTCATACACGTCCAGGGTTAAGTTTAGATTATGACACAGATTTGTTGAATCCACATGTATGCAGGGATAAATGTAAAATACTGCTTTTAAAAACTAAACTACTTCATAAAATACTTTGCTGGACGACTTTTTCAATGAGGATAAAAATGCGTATAGCCAATTATCTTTAAGCCAAATTTCAGTGCAGCAATAATATATTTTTTAGCGAATTCCAAATATATTTTTCGTTTAATTGATTATCATGAACAAGTTCACTAGATGACGTTTGATCGTATCTATTTTCTTACACTCTGTATATTAATTAGATGTAGTAGGCTGTTCTCAATTTGTCGATCAAAAAATATTAAAAAAAAAGTTTACTGCGTAAGCAATTTTCCTTAATCGATACCTAATTAAATATATATAGAATTTAGATAATATCCCTTCCTTTGCATCCCCTGCAATAGGTTGTTTCACTTGAAAAATGATATTCCGTGACCTTGAAAATCAGTGTTACGAACGCACTGTTCACTGTCCACTGTTCACTGGGCACTGTCTAGCAAATGCTAAGTGACCTTTTCTTACGTGTAGCTGGCACTACAAAGAGTACTTTTATTTACAATTTATCTCTTTCTTTTTGTAAATAAAAATCATGTTTGAAGTCACGACTGACCATGGTATCTGAAAAGAGCCCAAACGTTGGGTTTGTTTGAAATAACAAATATATATTCCGATGTAAATAATTTGTTTTTATTTTTGTTGTGTTGTGATTTGTTTTTTTTTTAGCTTTGATGTTGTAATTTTTTGTTCTTTTGTTTTCTATCTAAACGTTTTTCTATCTGTTCTTTTTGTTTTTTTTTTTCATCTGTGGTGCCATTTGTGGTAAGCAAATAAATATTATTTCCACCATTTTTTTCTTTCTAAAAATTTATTCTTTTCTCTCAACTAATCCTTTTTTTGCAAAGTAATAATCAGTAGGTAATCTGTATGGCGTCATTACCAAAGATTTGAATAAATACAATATATTAACCCAAGCTTCCAAGGAGTACACAAGGCGTATCTAATACTTTCCATGTTTTTTTTTCCACTTCTGTAGTTTATTTTTAAGTGTCGCAAAGGTTACTAAAATTGTACTGTTTTGTTGAAATTCGACTTTTTCGTTTTATTTTTAATAGTTTCGTGATTTCAGAGGGAGGTACTGTCGACTCTATGTGTATCTCTTGAAGATTTAGGTAAACATAGTTTGCTCATTCCGATCTCTGACAAATGACACCACAGAATAAATAAAAACAACAATAACTAGAAATAATAATAAAAATATAAAATGAAAAGAGAACAAAAGCACAATAAATGACAACATGAAATAAAAAGAATACAAAATTACAAAAAATGACAACGTACATTAACAAAACTGTCAAAAAAGTGTTTTTGTGGTCACACGATTACATACACACGATACACGATTTCCTTTTTTTTTAGTTTTACTTATATGAGTTTATCCTTTTAGGCTGATGCCTTTACCGAATAAATAAATAAGAGAAATTTACCAACATCACTTTGACCATAGGTCGGAAAAAGGTGTTCCACATGTATAGATACATGTATAAATATAGCTACATAGAGTTGTTAAAACCAACAAATATTAATTAATTACTTTTTCGAATACCGGATTTCCGTATGAAAGAAAATTCTCTCTTTATTCTATTTATGAAGATAAATAGCCGTACATGAGTAAGGCTGTCACAAATGGCACTTTTTCGTCGTGTTTAAGCGTTCAGCAGTTTTTTATTTAATAAAAAGTTTTAAAATAATTCAGTGTGAACGTATACCTTTTCAAATACATTTCTGCTAGTGGTTCAAATTTATGAACATCTGTTTTACTGTGTTTTTTAATTTAACTAAAATATTTTTAGAGCGCGATCACGATTCTCGTGCAAACTTAAATGTCCTAAAATTTCCTCCTAAATAAAATTTTTAATTATTTTTTTTAAGTTTTACTAGCAAATGTCGCCGTTCCTTCAATGTGACCGTCAATATGCGGTATCTAAAGCTAAGGAGGGGTGGAGAGCGACCATTCTCGTTTATTTTTTATTCTCCGTTTTGCTAAAAAGCCAGTTATCTACTGGATTATTTATAGTCTGTTCCAATCCAATGTACCATAAAAGTAAACAAACAGATAATTGTGCCGACCATAGACAGTTTAGTGATGGCCAACTGTGCAGTACAGTTCGAATTACGAATCGATTAATAAATTGAATGAATTGATTTGTTTATTTGAATCAGTTGGAATTTATATAATAAAATGGATTTTGCGATTTCGCTGCTGATTACTATAAAAAATATGTGATTCAATACTGAGTGATGATATTCCATACATGAGATTAGAATTTTTTTCTTACATAATAATAATAATAAAAGCATATTTCAAATTTCAGAATTATAATTTTAAATCCTCCTTTAAATCTTACACTTATATATTCGTTCGATTGTGATAAAATTTTCGATTCACTAATCGATTACAAATACTTTAACAGAATGAACCGAATAAGATATTTCCGTAAAGCCCTATGCAAGCATGGACTATATTTGATAACTAACTTCACTTTTGAAGTAACATTTTTCAAATACGATTTTAATATGTTATTCAAATGAATATTACAGGAAAAAGTGATGAGATATTAAGTCGAAATCTTCAAAATATACATGAACGTGCCACTCATTCCATTTATTGAGTGATTGCTTTGGAATTTTAACCAAATCGGTTTATTTACTATTCTGGCATAATGTATTGGAACAGACTTTACATGGCATCATTAGAATTATTTTAAAATCCAACTTCGACTTCCTATGAAATCCGGAATTCGAAAAAGTAATTGATTAATATTTGTTGGTTTTAACAACACTATGTCGCTCCTTGTAGCTATATCTATACATGTATCTATATATGTGGAACACCTTTTCCGACCTACGCTTTGACATATCATGTGTCTGACGATGGTACCATGCTTTATACATATAATATGTTTAATATTTTTACTTTTGTTTTTATACTATTTACTTGTTTTGTTCGCTCTTTCATTGTTAACGATGTTTTGTGTTTCTCCTTGCGTTTGTTAAGCACTTTATGTTATTTTTAATGACATTTGAATAATCATCTTCACGTACAAATGTACCAGCAATTAAACCGTAAATTTCCCCAAAATGTATTAAATAAAATAGTTAATTGGAAAGCACTTTCACGTTGGATTCTCTGGCACAAATCACTGTACGAAGGTATAATGGTTCCGTGAACGATATAATATATATTCATGGAAATAATCCGTGGTTGCTTAGACTCGAATTATATGCAGAGCAGTACGACCGCTCGCGTTTTCTCTTTCTCGTAATATCGCAGTGAAACATGTGACAAAAAGGGACAATATGAGCGACCGCGCTACTTTCTGATTATAATTAAAGCCTTATTGTCATATACAGAGTATAACTTAAAGATGTAATGTCTAAAGGATATGACAGTATACATAACCAATGGTAGAGACTTGTAATTTACTAAAGTCTCACATGCTCGTTGTGGCCATAAACACTGGACTGTATTAAGTGCGGTGTTTGATTCCCTATGGAGACATATTAATTACACTAGTTAAGTTACATAAAGTCAAATAAGTAAATTTAATAAATTTAAAAGACTTGACAAGTGAATAACACTACTTTAAATTATTTACACTCAAATATTTTCTTTGAAATGTCATATCTCTAATCTGTTATGAAATCGCAGTAAATTTAAAATTAGAAATCTAATAAACAGCTTTTGAACGCTCTTTATCTATTTAGATGAAGATAAACAGCCGCATATGGCACAAATCACGATCAACATAATGGTTACATACGTTCGTAAAAAATAAATATAAACTATTTAAATATCATAGTCGTCAGTAGCGAACGGCTTGCTGACGGCCTTTGTTGCCGTTCCGTCAATGTCACAACAATATGCAGGACGCTTGTCTAAAGCTAAGGACGATCGGAGATAGACCTTTCTGGTTACTTTTTTATTCCCTGTCATAAGAGTCTATACTATCTCAAATGGCTTCGGTTAATACCGTATAATAGTGAAATTGTCGAATCCATCACTTTGGAAGAAATATAAAGTAAAATTGAGGATACACACTGATTACTATACGGTGTGAAAACACATTTTCACGATAGAAAAGAAAAACAAACTTAACTCGAAATTTGACAAGAAAACCGCTGTATTCAATACTTTATATATACTTGGTACTTGGTGTAACGGGCTGGTGTCCGCAACTCGACGTCAAGGCGCCTATTACTTTATATATATCTGTTTTTTTTATATCAACTGAACTAAATAGAACACGTATATTATACGATATACATTTTTGAAATGGTTTTAATTTCGTTTGTAAAAAAATAAATTCTGAAATAAAGCCTGTGCCCCCGCCGCCCGCAAAATGAACCTTATTAGTATGGGAAAAATTGAATTCGAGATGAGGTAGTATCGATTCTTAATTGGAAACGCAAAGAACACTACACAGATTGAGGCAGATATAAAAATAAATATTTGTAAACTTTTATGATCTTTCATCTTTTTGTTACACTCTGTATATTCTAATTGTGTTATACATATCACAATATAGTATTCAAATCCCCAGCCAATGCGTTATGGGTATAATTGGACGCACCATAATAATTTAATCAATTATTAACCCTTATTAATCCAATTGCTTAACGCAAACAAAGCCCCACTATAAAGGAACCGTAAATGCTTACGCTAGAATCCCTTAGACGAATAAAATTAAAAATTAAATTATTGCAATTTAAAATTTTAGAAATTTCTTGGGTGTAAATTTGAGACGGGGCAGCAAGGCCAGCCACCATAATCGTTTTAGTTACAGGAAAACGGTTCTAGAAGACGATCCATGAATTTTGAAGATATTTTGATTGGTATTCACAGATTTTGGAAAAATGGTACAGTCAGCAAGATAAAAGTCAATTTTTACAAAACTTTTTTTTTATGCCATTCGATCCGGTCTCTGTTAAGAATCAATAGTCTCTATGGGACCAACTGAGATAAGAGTACTCGAAATGTCAGAAATCGCAAAAAACTTTTTTACCATACATTTTGTAGGGACATATTTAGTAATCAGTTATTCTAGGTAGTTAAGGAAACTATCAAATTGACAACGTATTATGTATTAGTTAAATGAAATTTATTAAAAAAATGCAACAGTGTTCAAGAATTGAAAGATGCACTTGCAGCAATTTTCAATGGACATCCATCGGAGTAAAATTTCAGCCGCTAATTTGCACTTTGCGGAAGAGAGCGAATCGATGCATCCGCCGAGGCGGCAATAAATTCGAGCACTTACTATCATACATTTTTATGTTATTTTGCTTTTTGTTATTGTTTTTATTTTGAAATACATAATACGTTGTCAATTTGTTAGTTTCCTTAACTACTTATAATAACTGATTACTAAATGTCCCTACTAAATGTGTGGTAAAAAGTTTTTTGCGATTTCTGACATTTCGCGTACTCTTACCTCAGTTGGTACCATAGAGACTGTTGATCCTTAACAGACACCGGATCGACTGGCATGAAAAAAAGTTTTGTAAAAATTGCCTTTTATCTTGCTGACTGTACCATTTTTTCAAAATCTGTGAATGCCAATCAAAATATCTTCAAAATTCATGGATAGTCTCCTAGAACCGTTTTCCTGTAACTACAACGATGAAGGTGGCTGACTTTGCTGCCCCGTCTCAAATTTACATCCTGTATATCCCTTTTTAAAATTATTACCTGTCGAACCTGCATTTTGTAATATCTATTTTATGTTTTTGTGTGATCTCTACAGATAACCTCTATAAATGACAATTCTATGCCACTATAACCATATTATAACAAGACAAGTGATGCAACACGTCTCTTGGGCGCGTAGGGTAGTCACATTATTATTTTTAAGATTGTTGAATGTCATGATATTTAACCACCATGATATTCAATTATTTTTGTAAAATTACCCCACTAGTTTGTAATAATTGTAAATTATAAATATGAAATGTGTTCGTCCGTACGCGGCACACTACCAGCGCGCACATATAGGTACAAGCTGCGCTGCTACGTTTGTATGGAGTTATACTTCCTTGTCTTATTATACTATGCTATAAGTTACGTGATTCGATTCTCCGTTGAACCACAACACTTTTAAACTTTTATTCTGGTACTTATAATTTGAGACCAGGCAATTTGTATGACTTTCTAGTTTGTAACTGTTTTTAAAGACAATAAAAATAGCAGTAAGTTATCTTGCTACAGCAAATATTTAGCAGCTGTAGAGCACTTTGTGAATGAGTTCGTCCAGGGTACTACTGCCACCTTACCTATTTCTGCCGCCAAGCAGTAATGTTAGCATTATTTCGTTTTAGACGTTTAAGAGAAAGGATGCCGGTGAAAATACAGACACATGGGATTTGTGAACTTATGTCTCAGGGTGACGGGCGCAGTGGCAGTGCTCCTCAGATCTTTGCGATTTAAAGAGTGCCACTGCAACTGTTATGGTCAGGCGTATACCTTACGCACGACTAGTTTGTTCCGTAACTTGATATTATAAAAAAAAATACTTGTAGTAAGATTACTTACTCCTATTTTTATTAATATTTCCACAAAGATTTTGAAGACATTTATCGATTTATAAAGGTTTCTTTTTTTGAGATCACATAACTTTCCAAAGTAAATGGCAACACCTACCCAATACTTCTGTTGATGTTTTCCTCGACGTCAGACCTCTAATCGATGGACATAGAACTAAAAGTATGATACAATGTAAACAGGATAGCGAAGGAAGGGCCCATAGCATGCAACATGGTGCGACTGGAGAGGCGGCAAGGACGGAGCAGGGAGGTGATGCCGATAGTGGTCTAGATGTAAGTAAACAGATGATACCGACTAGGAATACCCCATTTGGTAGCAGTAGAGCCCTGGGAAGTTTGTCCAGGATAGTACTGTCACGTAACGTAACGTGAGCATTAACGGGCGTTGTGATTAGGTGTTTGCGATTTAAACCTCTGAGTGGTATTACAACTGTTATGGACAAGCGTATCTTATCACCAAGCGCATGACTTGTTCGTCGCTCACTTAGTATCATAAAAAATAATCTGGTATTTACAGCACATGAAAGCCCCTACTTTGAGGCCAGGTAAGTGGTGGGATTGTCAGGTACGTTCTGAACGTATGAGGCCGTATATGACCTGATGCTTGATACTAGATATCTGGGGATGACTGTTGCAGCAGAAGCCCATATTTTTTGCACTTTCATGTCACTCTGTGTAACCGTCTCATACTTGAATTTAGGCCCATTCTACTATTTTTTAATTAAAACATGAATATCTTTAAATTATATTACCTGTAACTGAACCAATCTTCTTCTTCAAATTTTTTAAAATACATTATTTTATGCAAATTGCGTTGCGTACGTTCCAACTCAAGGAAACGAGTTTTGGCAGCTCCATCCAATACAGGAATAAAATAAATCAATAATAAAAAGAACCTTTGTGATATGGTTTATGAAATTATAATTGATAGAAAGTACAGGAGTTGAAAAATATTTTTCCTTCAGACTCTTGCCACCCGTGTGTACATTTCTAGGTGGTTGAAGATGATGGTAGGGGTTCTCCAGGCAGCACGGACGAAACGACTGAACGGCCCTCCTCCACAAAATCCGGTGATAGTGATTACCCCGAATCTTCTACCAAGGTAAGATATAGATTTAACAACTTATCTGCGATATGCGTTGTGAATGTATTGTTAAAAACCATAATTGACAGTGCATTTGAGGTGACAGTGTATTTTTCGACATTCATAGATAAGTTAGTGGTCTTCACATTGATGATTTCTGTTTGTGTAAAATTTTTAGGTTTCTGCACTAGGAATTCCCCTTCAAACCTCAGGAATCGAATTTTGGGAATCGTATCTCGGGAATCAAATTTTGGGATTCGATTGTAATTAATTAAATTTTGGATTTCGAACCTCAGGAATGAGCGTTTTGAAATGCGAACCTGAAGAATCAAGTTCTGGAAATCGAATTTTGGTAATCTTACCTCAGGATTGTAATTTTAGGATTTCAAAATCAGAAATCGATATTTCGGAACGCGAACCTCGGTTTCTATAATCTTCCTCCTATAATTAGTTTACACTTCTCTGGTAATAATAATTCATGGAATTCCATAGTTACTGACTTATTTATAATAATAAACTTATTACACCGTAGTGGTATATAAACAAGCTTACACTAACAATGTTTATATTATTTCAGCAAGCATCAACTGACAAAGACACGACGAGTCCAGAAAGCAACAGCCTCCTAGACCCCTCAGTGTTGTCAGACTTCACTACGCAAGCCTTGGTACTCACAGTGCTGGCAACACTGGTCAAATATACCACAGGTAAGTTAAGTAACGTACGAAAGCTAAATTGTTAGCTATTTTTAATCGAAAAAATGGAAGTAAATTAATTTGCTACTCCGCGAACCTAGTGAAGGTTAAATCGTGCAAAATAGCTGTGTTTGTATTGGATATTTTTTCACGCAGTTAATTGTCCCACCCTCCCTCCGCATAAAATTAATAACACAAGCGCATCCTCAGAGGCTGTTGACTGCTGCAGTCACCACGTGTCGGGTATATTTTTGGTGGTAGTTTGTGACTGCAGTTGCGCTTGTGTCATTTATTCTATTAATTTTATGCGCAGGGAGGGTGGGATAATTAACTGCTTGAAAAAATATTCAACACAAGTGCAGCTATTTTGCACGATTTAAACTTCACTGGGTTCGCGAAGTAGCAAATTAATTTACTTCCATTTTTATTAACATGGACTTCCGCACAGTAACGCCTTAGATTCAGGCGTTACGCAGCCACCGAAACAATGAATTTATTGCAAACCAAATTTTACGAAATTCTGCCGTTAGCTGGCCAGCTCGCTCATGTGATTTAACACCGCTGAATATTTTTTTATGGGGTCATGTTAAAGACAGAATCGATTGCAGCCTTAAAACTCAAAATTCGTGAAGTGAATAACGAAATAGACCCATCATTTTGTCAAAAAGTGATTAAAAAGTTTGATAAAAGAATAGACATCTGTAACTGTGGTCATGGTGGAGTCAGGTATCATTTTTCATTCATAATTGCCAAACCTTATTTATTTTAATACAATAAAAATTTTAATCACCGTCATGTAATTTTTTTGTTTTATTTTGATTTACAAAACAAAGTTCTTGTTGTAAAACCCTTTAGTATATAATAATAAAATTACAGTTATATTTGAAATGTTATGTCATATTTGATGAAGGAGGTATTGTTTTAGTTTCTCCTTTATGTTTTTGAGGTTACGATCGTCTTTAAGTGCTTTAGGAAGATCACTCAAAATTCGAGGAATTTGATTAGTGATGTTTGTTTTCAGATGAAGACGAGATACGAATATTGTACCAGTATTTAGCGGAAGGGTCTGTGGTATTCCCAAAAGTATTTCCAGTTATGTAAGTGTCTATCTATAATGTTTAAGTGATCTTCTTATCGTATTGATTGAGTGTATGGCACACTACTATGAACGGTGGGACATGCTTGCCATCGTGGTGAAAGGGTTTGCCAATCGGCGGAAGGTACTCGCCGATTATTGCCTAGGGTGTACCAGACGAACAGGAAAAGTATATTACGTGTAGGAAAAATATGGTACGTTGTGCATGGAGGCGAAGGCGGAGAACAAAAAGTAAAGAGAACGGAGACTCTCCGCCCCTCCCTAGCTTTAGATACCGCACCACGCCCCGCACATTGACGGTCACATTGACTGAATGACAACAAGGCTGCTGGCGAGCCGTTTTAACGCGAAGACGGCTTTGATATTTGAATATAGTTTTCATTTATTCATTACGAACCTTGTACGTTATAAAATCTTAAACATCATTTTACGTTACTATTTATAATGGTCGAGAATTGTGCTGTGTACGGCTGTTTATCATCATTTTCCGAAAGATGAAACGAAGTAAGTAAAAAAACTTATGTCTGAGACTCATTCTGTTATTGTTTTCTTTATTTATTTACTGCAGAGTAATATATGTATGTATAAAAAAATACAGATTTTTTATATCAGAATAATGAGGCGTCATGACTTCGTGAGCTAGTAGACAAGGGTTCTCGAATAATATACGTAAGTAGCGAATATACCAAATTATTAACTAAATAATGATGATCAACTTGGACACGCAATTTCAAAGACCTTGGTTACCTTATTTAAAAATACATGTCCAAAATATAACATTTTAAGTGCTTTTAATATATTTTTTAAATAAATCTTCAATGTAATAGTTAGTGAATTAATGAAAAGTATGGTATTATATATGGTATTACGAGGGGGTTTTTTATATTCGCGGAATGGGGGATAAGGAGTGGAAATAAAAAAACCAAATTATTTTTCCTTTTCAATATATTCACCTGCAAGACGAATACATTTTTCAGATCTTTTAATTAATTTATTTATACCCTCATAAAAAAATGATTGGTCTTTGTCTATAAAATACGCCGAAACTGCCTCCTTGACTTCATCATCGGTGGTAAATTTTTTACCCCGGAGCTCTTTTTTCATTTTTGGAAACAGGTAATAATCACTCGGGGCCAGGTCTGGGCTGTAGGGTGGGTGATCTAAAATATCGAAGCCCACCTTATGCAGGGCAGCCAACGCAACGCGGCTCTTGTGAACGGGCGCGTTGTCGTGCAAAAGCAACACACCTTTCGTCAATTTTCCCCGTCTTTTCTCCTTAATGGCTTCTTTAAGTCGCTCTAATATTGAAGCGTAGTATTCCCCGGTTATAGAAACACCTTTATCTTTATAGTCGATTAATAATATTCCTTCCGACTCCCAAAAGACCGTTGCCATGATTTTCCCAGCTGACTGTGACACCTTAAACTTCTTAGGGGGTGCTGCGCCCTTTTTATGCCACTGCATGGAGTCTTGTTTCGACTCAGGTTCATAATGATGAACCCAAGTTTCGTCTCCAGTAACAATTCGACTCAATACATCATCCTTGTCTTCATTACAGAGGTCCAAAAATGCACGTGAACACTCGACGCGCTGTTGTTTTTGCGGCGGCGTGAGCATTCTCGGCACCCATCTTGCACTGACCTTAGTCATGCCAAGATGATCATGAAGAATTTTAAAAATGGTTGTATCTGATGCTCCAACCATTTCTGCGAGTTGTTTCTTCTTTAGTCGAGAATCTTCCAGTACAATTTTTTCAACTTTTTGGATAAGTTCTGGCGTGGTCACCTCGATGCTCCTGCCCGGCCTCGGATCGTCTTCAAGGGATTCCCTTCCTTGTTTAAATAAATTGTGCCACTTGTACTGCATGGTTTTTCCTGGACAAGAGTCGCCGTAAGCCAATGACATCTCATTCATTATGGTCGCAACTGATTTTCCTTGCTTTGTAAGGAACTTTATAACGGCACGATATTCGATTTTTTCCATATTTCACTTTTCACTCCCGATTATGTTGCTTGATTGACGATAACTCAAAGACTAATGGTCTAATAGCAATGAAACCTCGTATTTATACTAATTATGAGTCACTGAACACGTTACGACCCTAATGAGCCTAATCGCCCCCCCACAACCCTCTCATTCCGCGAACTTAAAAACGCACCCTCGTATATATATTAATGGATTGTTGATGATGGATTCATATATCGATATAAATACATAATAGACATGTGTAATTATTAGGATTCTGAATTCTATTAATACAATCATAGGTAATAGATTCGCGTTAGCATTTTCGCTATGTTGCCGCTCTGATCACGTAACGTGCAAGAAAGTGATGTGGTGAGTGGGTAACCTTGCCACTTCACGTACACATTTGCGCGTGTGCAGATAGCGCCTTGCTGTATGTAGTAGTAGTAGGTTTTCGACAGTCGTATGAAGAGTCCGGGGTGTGGCGAAGGAGAGGAGAAGGAATTTTTAATTTATTACCATTTAAACATTTTGTATACTATTACGACCTCCGTGGTCGAGTGGCTTGCACACCGCTTTCCATGGCGTCGCCATCTCTGAGGTCCCGGGTTCGATCCCCAGACGGATCAGTGTAGAAAAACTAACTTCTCAATTCTTTCTCAATAACAAAAGACAATTCTCGAGTCTGGATGTTTGTGGTACCGTCGTTGTTTCCGATTTCCATAACAAGTGCTTTAGCTACTTACTTTGGGATCAGGGCAACGTAACAACAACATATGTGATGTTGTCCAATATTTATTTATAAATTTATTTATTATTATTAATCGAAAGTCTTCTTCTTCAATTTTATAATTTTAATTTGAAAATGAATTTGCCCAAAAAATCCATTGGTGTGAAAAAAATTCATTGAAAATACCCGATTTTCAGTAATTAACAACAATGTGCTTGAGCCCTAGACACTTTTAATGTGTGTATATTCTAACTTCCTATACGTACGTTCTGTACCAAGCAAATTTCGTCCTAATTGATCTAGATTTATTTTTCTAATTGAGGGGACCCTATGATTCAAATTCAAATTTCTCGAAATTCTAAACTTTGTAACCTGAGACCTATCGAAAATACAACTTCGGACTTTTCTGAATTCGAAGTTGATGTAGAAACTCCATGACATCTTTTGATATTACATACATTCGTGATATTATAAGTTTACTTACAAAAATTATTATGTGTTTTCAGTCATAGTTTGCTTGATATGAAAATAAACCACGTGCTAATGCATTGTCACGATCAAGTCATACTGAGCGCTGTGCAGAGCATTATACAGGTAAATAACTATGTTCTTTATTAACTAAATAGTCTGTGTAAACTTGACAAGCAAAAATAACAAATTTCATCCAGGGAAATACTGCCACCTTACCTATTTCTGCCGCATTACTGCGTTCCAGTTTGCAGGCACATGGGACTTGTCAACTTATGTCTCAGGGTGACGGGCGCAGTGGCAGTGCCCCTCAGATCTTTGCGATTTAAAGCTCTGAGTGGCACTGCAACTGTTATGGACAGTCCCACGACTTGTTCGTTCCGTCACTTGGAATTGTAAAAAAAGAAAACACCCTAACTGAAACAATCAATTCATAGTAAGCGTTGTTATAATGCATTATGTAGATAATTAACAACATTCTCTGTTAACTTGCTAGTAACGCTAGTCTGTGTAATCTTGTCAAACACGATTGTATTTCACCGCCATGATCCAGTCTGAATGCTCCACATAGCATGTACTGTTAAATCAATATTGTTTATTTTCAGAACATGATAGCATCGGAAGACGCGAGTCAGCAACAGCTTCATTACATGCAAAGCTGTGGCTTCGGCGGGCTTTGGCGATTCGCTGGACCTTTTACCAAGGTGCGTAAGCATTTAAATCAAACAGCATACATAATAATCCACCAGTATAATATATGGAATGAGCTACGCTGGGTGTTTCTCTGAAGAGTGGTATTCGAAATGAGGTTATTCGACAGAGAACGCTGTAGCAGCAGAGCTCCTTGTGAAAGAATTCGTCCAGGGAAGTACTGCCACCTTACCTAGTACTGCCGCCAAGCAATAATGTGAGAATTAATGCCATTATTACCAAACTGATATTGATCGGGAACGTAGGACGTTGGCTGCCAGATGTAATATATTGGCACATAGATTCGTCCGCTGTGGTGAGCAAGCCAAAATAACTTTATTCAAGGCGGTATTGTCAATCCTTCTACATGGGTGGTCTGTGTTTCGTCGGACGGCGTCACTACTCTCTAGCCTGCGTTCTAGTCCTAACAGCACCCTGAAAACGTTTGCGGCTAAACCCGATGCGCCGACGCTTCGTCATTTCGTCCGGGTTCTGGTGAGGTGATGGGGTAATCGGCGGCGCCTCGTGCGAAATAATGTGTGTTTTTGTTTTTTGCTCTGTATTTATTAACAATAGTCATAAGTTTAAAAATGTCTGTATTTACTAACAAGTGGGCTTTGGATGCCAAATAAATAATTTATTTATTATTATTACTGCGTTCCGGTTTTGGAGGGTAAGAGTGCTGGTGAAATTACAGGCACATGGGACTTGTAAATTATGTCTTAAGTTGACGGGCGTAGTGCGTCTCTCGGATCTTTGTAATTTAAAGCTCTAAATGGTATTGCAACTGTTGCAACGGACAAGCGTGTCGCTTACCAACAGTCGCACGACTTGTTCGCCTTGTCACTGGTATCATAATAGTACATTCTTACTTCGAGACTCTATTAGAAGCCCGCAGTCGAAGTCTGAATTAAGAACCTCGACTCTGACAGCCCTGTCAGAGTCGAGGTTCTTAATTCCCGTATCGCCCGTAAAACATACAATGTTTTTCATCACATTTGCACGTAAATAAAATAAAACCTTCGGACCTTTTTTCTTCTTATTACTTTATTAAACGGCATTCAATAGAATGATGCCATAATTTATTTCATTTTATGAATTTCGCAATATTATTATTAATAATACAATACATTGTATTATTAATAATTGTATTATTACTATTACTACTATTATTTATTATTATATTATTTATTATATTATTATTACTATTATTATTATTGTATTATTAATAATTGTATTATTACTATTATTATTAATAATACAATGTATTGTAGTATTAATAATAATATTGCGAAATTCATACGCAATTTTTATAAACATACAATAAATAAGCATTAAAGAAAATAGTATAATTATATAAAAGAATAAAAATACAAGTATGCTCAAATAAAATAAAAATTTCTTTGTAAGAATTTGCCCTACACTAATAGTAGGCTAATTAATTATCGAGTCAAAGGAACTTCAGTTGGGTAAAAATTGGCTCATATTAACCTGTTCCAGAACCAATGTACGGCCGAGAGCAGTGAGCTATTCGTGAATTGCCTCGAGGCGATGGTAGAGACGTGTCTACCCGGTGACGACACTGCAGCCGAGCGGGCGCCGCCACCTGACCCCGATGTCCATCCCGGCGATACAAACGCCAGTGACGTTCACGATACTACGCCCATGCGATATGCAGGTAATTTTTGATACCGGTATTACACGATACCTGTTGTAATACCAGCGTGTATGATAGTGGGAGTGGATGTAATACCAGTAATATGCACGATACCACGCTTATGCGTTTGCAGGTATTTTGCAATACCGGTTGTAATACCAATGTGAATCATAACGTTCAACTTGTGTCTTAGGGTGACTGGCGCAGTGGCAGTACCACTCAGATCTTTGCGATTTAAAGCTCTGTGTGGCATTGCAACTGTTATGGACAGGCGTGTAGCTTAACATCAGATGCACGACTTGTTCGTCCCGTCACTTGAAATTATAAAAAAAAAACCGGCAATGAGTGTGATATCTATCAGTGCACCGTACAACGCCCATACGATTCATGAGTATTTTGCAATACCGGTTGGTATACCATCGTACATGGTACCAGCAAAGAGTATGATCTCAGTAACGCACACGATAACACGCTCATGCAATACGCAGGTATTTTGCAATACCGGTTGTAAATGTGATATCAATAACGTGCATAATATCAAGCCCATGCGATACCAACGGTCATGATATCGTAGACTATTGTGAGACCAGTAATGTGCACGTTACCACACCCAAGTATTATGCAGGTATCCTTTGATGCTGTTAACGTATTTGATACCGGTAACATGTGATACCAACATTTACGGTACCGGTACGTGGTATCTAATGTACATGCGATACGTAGATTATTTATGGATATTGCTAATGTATCTAATGCATCTGTGGAGCGAAACTGGACTCGGTGGAGCGAAAAGCAAAGAGACTTATTAACAACAATTCTCTTGTGGAGTCGAAGCTACAAAATCTCGACCATCGCAGGAAAGTAGCCTGCTTATCGGTTTTCTATCGGATACATTTCAGGGAGTGTGCGCAGGAACTTTTCGATTTAGTTCCACCTTCGCCGTTATGGACGACTAGAAGGTCTGGAGCACTCCATTCTTATGTCGTTGATGTTCCACCTATTCGCACTAAGCGCTTTGCTTCCTCCTTTCTGATGCGTACGGCAAAGAAATGGATTGCTCTACCGGCTACCGGCTACTCTATCCGTATGTCCCGAAAAGTTCAATTTGGGGCTATTCAAGGCTAGAGTGAATAGGCATATTTTAGGCAAACGCGTACCGTAATCAGTCACATCGTCGCTTAACATCATGTGAGATAGCGTGTGTCTATTATATTTTTTTTTAATCTGTGTTGAATAGATATCGTGGTAAATTTTTCCGGCACCGGTATATTAAAGTCTGTCTTTTTTGAAGATGGAGTAAAATGACAGTTGATTGCGCAAAAGTGTTGCCCGCTTGCGAGCAGCTAGTGACTGCAGTAGATAAATATTCTATCGACTATCGACTGAATGTTGGTCACTTTTATGTAGTAAATAGCCGAAGACGTTTCATTTTAGTCATCATCGGCCCATTATTCATCCAACTGCTTGGGCACAGGTTTATTTGAATTGTCAATTTTTGTAATTTCATACATATATACACTACAATGAGAACTATATCTATTAAAAACCAGACATATTTCATAGCTTTTCATTTTAATTCAATATAGGTTCTTATTAAAATGTATACGAATAAAAAAATATTTCGTAAGTAAGCCAACTGTCAAAATAAGAATAAAGAAGGCTATAACGCAATTTGAACGTCGTAAATTCAGACATTATTGGCAAAATTTTAGCTTCCTTAACAATTTACTGATAAAACTGTCGACAACAACTACATGACTATTTAAAATTTTATGAAAACTGACAACCCTGCAAATATAATTTTATTCCGTCTTCAAAAAGACAGACAATAAACCGTGTATCAAATGAGATATATTATTCCTCAGGTGTCCACCGCCAACCCACAATATACTGCACAGGCCAGGACTCCTGACCCCACCGCTATCCTGACGAGGAAGTTCTAGAACCACGTCGCTGCAGCAAATCTGACAACACCATATAGCATTTGCCCACATTGTACGATCATGACGGTGGAGATGTGACCTTCAATGGGATGGGTGAAGTTATTAATTTTATTCTTAAACGCAATAGGCTTGATGATGTTGATTAAGGTTTGAAAGCGGAAAATACGCATCTGATTTACGCGCGTTTAAATATTATAAGATAAACCGTAATTACGAGTTGCCATAGCTATGCCTCCCAGTGACCATGATAACTTCTTTTGTCTACTAGAGAAGCGGAGCTTCGGAAGGGAATAGAAGCGAATTTTTGTAATCATAGCATAATTAAGTTTACGTCAATATTGTAATATACAAACTAGATACGAGCCCAAAAATAGGGAACTTCCGCAGCTAGTTTGGACATTGCGCACTTGACAAAGTTAATTGTTCTATGTATAATTTCGTTACAAATATTTGCTTCCATTACGTTCCGCAACGATGTAACGTTCAGACCGTTCTGACGCTGATTGTACGTGCAAATAGGAATTTTGTATAAACTAATGCATTACTATCTTCATCATTACGACGCCATATTTGTCTTATAGTAAGATTATTTACTTACTGCAGACTCGGCGATAAATCATCGGAGCGGGACAGCGATATTGCGCTCTCTCCAATTAAGATTTATTAATTTCACATGCTTTCGTAATATTATTGCATCAATATGTGGTGTGAGTGTAATGGTGGCATTTCACATGCCTACTTGTAAACGCTATTGGGTGTTTGATGTACTTGGGAAGAATATTTGACGTGCAGACAAATATGCAAACACTCACAAACTCAGCGCGCGGTCACGCGAGTTTGGTGTTTGCCGTATTTGTCGAATAGGCAAACAAGACAAATACTTTGTCACATATGCTATCAACACATGGTGATTGTTTGGCAAATATGTGCCACCATCACAAATTTTTTAACGCACACCAACCTGTATCGCGGGTGGCATGGACACACACATAGATAACAACGGATTACATCCAAACTCGAACTAAATTTATGGCAGACCACCATTTTAAATTAAAGTTCGTCTATAGGAAGCATTTATAAAGTGCAGTAAGGCACAGCCCTGCGCTTAAACAAAAAAGTCCATACCCGGGAGAGAGAGCGCAATATCGCTGTCCTGCTCGGATAATTTATAGCAGAGTCTGCAGCGAGTAAATAATCGTATTATAATACGGCCTTGTAAGCACCTTAAAATTAGAATTAAGTAATAAATTTGCACTAAATGTATATGTTGTGGTACGTAGTTAAAGAATATTAAGGTATATAAGCAATTGTGGCGATTTCTGTACAAAACAAGCGTAAATATTAACTGAGTGTATTATTGAAATTTTTTGTGAAGTACTTAAATCCACTAGTTTTGTTATGATTATTAATAAAAAAATCGAACACAGAAAACTTTTTCGACCCGATGCCACTTGAATCAACGACCGTGCTGCACCGTAGCACTGCTCTTACCAACTGAGCCACAGATCAAGTAACCGAGCTGTCGAAATTCTCTTACCTATGCGTTTTTATTATAAGAAGCCAGTACAAAGATCTATAACAAAAACACACAAATCGGTTTCTACATTTGTAACAACTCAAAAATGGCAAATATAAAGGTGACGATTTTTCGAATATATAATCTTGCCGTTTCAATCGTCACACTTTGTACCTACGTAAGGAAATAATAGGAGATTTTCGACTTCTGGCACTGTTCAAACTGATGGACGATTTGATTAAAAAATATTACTTATTTCTTTAAGTTTAAAGTACACTTTCAATTGACGGGAACAATGAGCATTATAATGAGCTGATAAAAAATATCGAATTGATGAATAATATCTAAATATTTAATACAAAATACACTACAGGTTAATTTTGTTTTAAGCAAAAGTGTACTTAAATCTACTCCTATAGGGTTTGTTTTGCATTTGGTAGATTATTCGTAAAAGACAGTTTAATTTCTTACACTGAAATCGCTGCAGTTGTTATTCTTCGCTTGTTTTTTATTGACTTTATTTACGCTTAGGGTGTTTGTAAACATGATACGGTATAATTTACGTTTGTATACAATATACATACATACATACATTTCTACATTTCTGGAAAGAACTATCTTCTTTCACAGTCTGTCGACAAAATTATCGACAACAACTACGTAATATATATATATATAACAAATTTTTTTTGAAATCTACAACCCTACAAATGTCATTTTACTCCGTGTTCAAAAAAGACAGACTCTACAGCACAATATATTACATTACAAGTCACAGTGTTTATATATGTATGTATGTATAATCACCCCTGATAAACCCCATATTATATTTATAAAAAACATATCTTTTTAATGTCATGTATTTTATAATAATTAAGTTCAAACACGATATAGAAATTGTACGGTTAGCCACAGGTCGACAGGATGATTTACTAAAACTGGTGATAGGACAAATCGATTCATTTTCTTTGTACAGTCAGTACCCTCACTTAAGTATCCACTATTTGTACTACGTGCTATACGTGTTTGTATGACGACTGTACCAGCATCAAAATATTTTCGAGTTCAAAACTTACCAAAACTATTGCCATATTTGTTATAATTATTAATAACAAATCCGTGCCAGATGCTCTGCTAATTAAGCCTCGGAACTAACCAATAAACCTTACGAATTATTCTATGTGCTTCTTGCAGATCTTTGATTTGAAAAACCAAATTTTTAACGACTTTTTTGCCGTAGCGCCATCTGTGAGAAATTTATTTCTTCACTTAGAGAGGTACCTTTACAGCTACCATCGCTGACTTGAGATGTCGCTATAATTGTAATTTTTAAGTTTATTGAATATCACGATATTATACTACTATGATATTAAATTTTTTTTGCCATGACCGATCTGGACGTCTTTGAAAAAACTTCGAACTCAGGTTGGTCGGAGCAAGGACAATTTGTTCAGGCGGGGAGTTGCGGATGGTTTTAACCTATAGTCGTGTCAGATAACATCCTCTTTTTAACCGACTTTACAAAAAGGAGAAGGTTCTCAATTCGACTGTTTTTTTTTGTATGTATGTTACGCGATAACTCCGGAATTTGTGAACCGATTTTCATGATTCTTTTTTTGTTGGAAAGAGAGTACCGCCATAGTGGTCCCATTTCATTTTGAAGAAAATCGTCCACCTCTAAGGGTGGCCGATCACGCACGAACATTCATTTTTATAAATAGCGCCTAAATTTTACTTAAGAAACCATTATTTTAATGGTTGGTTTTGCTATAATCCAATTCAAGGCGTTTTTCTCTCTCAATATACTTTGAGTAGTGAGAACCGATTTTTATTATCTCCTGTGTCAAGTCCTGTATAATGGCGAACTAGGGGATATTTCAATAAAACTTTGCAAATAGATGTAATTCCATGTACTTTTGAGGTCGGTTTTTTTAGTACTCTGTACTGAGATTATTGACAGACAGTTTTGGACGACCACTTTAATTAGTATCATTAATACTAGTATGGTACCAGTTACTAATTATAGTATAGGAATTTAGTAGTATTGATACCCGCCTGAGAATACAAGTTACAGAAACAACAAGACGCATACAAGGCTATCGCACTTGTACTGTTGTGCATTATGCAGTATGCAGTGTGTGAAACTTGTGCCAATTCAAATTTTTACTTTACCCAGACATGTTTGAGAATTTTGTGGTTACTTAAATAATTTATTAATATTTTTTTCGGCAAAATTAACATATATTTGTAAATAACATAAGCAAGTAATCTTATGAACGGTGTCTGCAATGATTGATTTGATATTATACATTTATTCATGATTTTTATCGTATAAATTTTCGTTAATGGCAACACTTTTGCTTAATTTCTGGGGATATTTCTACTGTTACAACCATACTACATTATTTTTTTATCACATAATAGTACTGTCTTATTGCTTGCGGGACATCACTAGGTTTAAGAAAAAGAAACGTAACCCTGTGTAAATGACGTATCATCAATACAAACTATCACAACTTTAATGCAGATATTAAATTAAATTATGTGTTATTGTAGTTAAATACTATATATTTAACCGAAATAAACACGTTGTTACTGTTCATAGAAGAGATAAATTATATAATTATTCGTTTCCTATTTGGACAATAATTATTAAGTTACATTCTATCGCCGTTCATAGCTGTCAAAAAGAGGATGCTATCTTGGCTCGACCATAGACTGCTTGTGCGGTGCGACTCAAACGACCTCATAACACGCCCTGCTTGCTCTAACACCTGCACGCTTGATGATTTAATGGCGGCTGCTAGTGACGGGGTCGGCGTAGCTGAGTTCTGGGCCACTATAGTATAATATATGTCATCGATACGATGCGGCTGCCTTTCCACCAGAGATGTATGAGGTTGCGAGGATGTGTAGGTGCGAAGATGTTAAAGACTCTTTTCAGCGAGCGGGGTACGGTGTGGTGGGGGTCATACTTTCAGTAGTTCTAGTTTCCTACACCGTTTTGCACACATTCCGCTCCCGCATCCCTCACACACATCTCTCGCTATTTTGTATGTGCAAATACTTAGCTCCGCTAATCCTTTTCCACCGGAGTTGCGCTAAGCGAGGCTAGGAAAATGAAGAAATCCTATTGGTGGATTTTTCCTCGCACTACGCCGCGCTACGTCGCACATCTCTGGTGGAAAGGCAACCTTAGAAAAAGTGTAGTTTGTTATAAAGATTATCTGAGGCCCATGTAAATTGCCCTAACCGCACTTTCTTCTTTTATAGGTTTTTATCAAATATACAGATATTTTTGGATAATTTTTAATACTAGTAAAGCATTAGCTACATACACACATGACATAAAGTATATGAAAACACGTAGATAATTTTTAAATAGTTTGTATCGAAAACTAATACAAAGAAAACTGGTCACATTTAAATAAAGCTATTACCAGTTTTAGTAATGCTAGTTGTTACTAAGTGCGGCCACAAACAAGCCACAGAGATGCAAGTGGCGAGCGACGGGTGGCAGTCAGACTTCTGCATACAATCGACCCCTTATTTCTCTGTTTTATTCGGTCTAAAGTCACGTGTTATGCTCATTCCAGTGAATTCAGAACTATAAAATGGAGCCGCCAGACCCAAAGTAGATGACGATCAGGAGCTCGACGACTCGTAAAATCAAAGACGATTTTAGTTAACTGTGTTATATTTTAAAATAGGTGACTGGTTAGTTACAGGAGTAGTGCTGTTAAATCGATACAGTGATAGTTTCTGAAGGGGTACAGTTTTGAAAGTGAACGGTCCTTTTTACCTTTTTAGTTACGTACAAAATTCGTTACAAATGTGGTAGGGATAAAAAAGACATATGTGGTGTTACTCGATTGGTTCAAAATAGGCCTACGTAATGTGCCCTTGACGAGCAGCGTTTTGTCACTGCTTTGGAAATTATGTTAAAATTACAAAAATTGTTGCGTTCGCAACAAAAACGATCCCTTGTAAACTTGGCAACTTCGACATACGATACTTTACGTAGGAGGGGGTCGACATTACTACTCAATCAAACTCAAAGAGGGTTTCACCCAGACACTATCGTACAGCAATGCATGATTGTGCGCGCGTGTAAAGACGTTGGAAGGAAAAGGGAAAGACCGCGCGATTGCTCTCA